GGGTAAGGCTGATTCTGGGAAGAGCTGAGCAGCTGTTTGGTGGTTGTGTTAACACTGATCATTAGTACAGCCTCTTTTGCATTCTGTCACATTAATTTGTTATTGTTTTCACTTTTGTGATGACTCAACTAGGCTCTTTATTAGATGGAGTGATATCTGCCTAAAGGTTCACAAAATATTCTGAAATAATTAGACTGAACTAAATATTTTTTAGATAGGACACTAATGCTCTGTATCACACATGAGTGAAAAAAAATTGAAAATTGATTTTTAGTCCTTCGTAATGCTGTTGAGACATGTCAATGTGTTTTGCTATTAGAATTCAATTAAAAGGGGCTCCAGAGAGGTAAGCAAGCCAAAGCAACTTCATCATGTGTATGTAGCTCATGCATTGTCGATTATGACATTTTAAATCACTAAGTACTTATCTACATATTTGTTTGCTTGTTTTAAGTCAATTTTATTGACTTAATAAAATGCACCCCTCTTTAAGTGTACATTAATGGAATTTTGACACATTTAAACCCCTGCGTAAACACCATCACAGTCAGGATGTAGAACATATCTATCACCTTCCAAAAGTCTCTTATGTTCCTTCCCACTCAATCCATTCCACCTTGGACCATGTAACCACTGATCTGTGTCCTATATATTAGATTTGCCATTTTTAGGATCTCATTAAATGGACTCAAACAGCACGTACGCTTTTGTTTGTAGCTCCCTTGGCTTAGCTAAGTGCTTTTCACATGCATTTAACTTATCTGTTTCAATAGTTCACTCCTTTCTCTTGATGACTAGTATTTCACTGCATGCATATGCCACAAATTACCTGTTGTAGGATACTGAGTTGCTTTGGCAAGTTCTGAATAAAGCTGTTTGAACATTTGTTTACAGATCTTTGTGTCGGCATATGTTTTTATTTCTCTTGGGTTAACACCTAGATATGGAATATGATAACTGCATATTTAGCTTCATTAGAAAGTGCCAAACTATTTCCCAAAGAAACTGTACCATTTCTTATAGCAATATATGAGATTTCCAGTTGTTCTTTACCCTCTCCAAGACTTGGCCTTGTCAGTTTCTTTTAAAAATTTACCACTGTAATGGGCATGTAGTGTTATCTTATTGTGGTACCATTCTTCTTGGAGGCCTTAGCTCATTCCCAGGCTGAATTATGTTACTCTGACTGTGTTGTCCATTCAATGGGGACCATAAATGGACAGGTAATGATGTTTGAAGAGTAGGATTAGTACTATGGGAAGGACCTCATAAAAGGAGCACTTTCAGTTGAGGAGTATATTTTATACTTCAAATACATCCTTTACAATGTGAAACTTTATAATTATACTTGTGTACACTCCATACAATGCACTCCATGTACTAAAATCAGAACAGGTATTCTTAATGGTTTTGAATGGCTGTGAATCAAGGCCAGTGGGTAAAGTGAGCAGAGGCCCTTAGGGGGCAGCAGAGGACCACATACCAAGAGACTCATGGGTTGGGGAATAGGGTATGTGTCTGTCTAAGTAAAGGGGCCTCTGTCTGTCACTAGCTAATAGGTTAAACTGTTTGCCCTTCTATTCTTCAATAGTAAATAAGGATAAAAGCTAAAGGAGTTGGGGTGTAAAAACTCACAAACTCAAAAGCATGCAGGGGTATGACAAGAAATATACTGCTGAGAATGTGACCAGTGTTAAGACAAAGGGTGTTTAAAGGTTTGTGGTCAAATTGAGCGTACAGTGCTTCACCAGGAGGCATGAAAATTCACCAAATAAACGAAGTGAGTTTTGCTAGCTAATCATCTTGCAGCACCTTTGCACACGTGCTGCAAATCTGTGACCCTAGGATGTCACCTGAAGAGGATTAAGAACGCTGGACCACACCGAGACACATAGGGAACTCCACTGAAGATGGGAAAGGAGGCAGGAAGTATCAGCAAGGGAGAGCTAGAACTAGGGCTAGAACAAAGATGGAAGCGAGGACTGAGCTGAGGTGTGTTATAACGGAGGGTGTGAGGATTGTGGTTGATGGTGACGTGAGTGAATTCATACTTACTGGGTACCTACTATGTGTATAAAGAAATGTATACACACTTTCTGTTAATTTTCATAATAACCCTTGAAAGTAAGAGTTACTATCCTCATTTATACATGGACAAAGTTTAAATGAGGGAGGTTATGCAAGTTTGTAGAGAACTCAGGCCTATGTAACTCTAACTTCAAATCTCTAAAAGAGATGAGAGAATTGGTAAACTGAGACTTGAGAATCAAAACAGGTTGAAAATGAGGGTTGCTATCAGGGTTGCAGGCCAATGCCTCTTAAGACTTAATATGCCTCTGAATCCCCTGGGTATCATGTTAAAACACAAATTCCGATGCAGAGCACCTGGGTTGAAGCCTAACAAGCTCCCAGGTAATGTCCATGTTGCTGCTCTGCAGACTATGTGCTGAGAAGTTTGCAGCCATGCTCACCTGAACCTTATATTGCAACAATAAGTTTTATTCTGCTCTCTCTAACTTGAAAAGCCAGCATGTATTGAGGAATATCACTTCTATGGGGATGGGGGAGGCTTAATTGCACACAGGCTTGTTTCTAAACTGTGAGATCTGCTTGTTTTTTGTCATAGGACTTGGATTTTAATCCGTACTCCACTAATTCCTACCCGAGTGACCTCGCACAGTCCTCTTGAAGAATTAGTTTCCTCATCTACAAAATGGGAATAATAATAATCTACTACTACATAAATCATAATGCCCTTTTTCATTGTTAATATTTCACACTGTAAAATAACTTGACAGATGAGGACCTTGACACAATGTCTGGCACATGGAAGATGATCATTAAATGTTTGCTGAAGACTGAATGAATATGTATATGTTGTATATGTTGATGAACACTGACATAGCACCTAATATAAATATTAAATTAACACTTAAGGGCTTCCCTGGTGGCGCAGTGGTTGAGGGTCCGCCTGCTGATGCAGGGGACACGGGTTCGTGCCCCGGTCCGGGAAGATCCCACATGCCGCGGAGCGGCTGGGCCCCTGAGCTGTGGCTGCTGAGCCTGCGCATCTGGAGCCTGTGCTCTGCAACGGGAGAGGCCACAACATTGAGAGGCCCGCGTACCGCAAAAAAAAAAAAAAAGTTATAGGCATTAACTCTCTCTTTCTAAACTTTCTTTACATGGACCACACAGGTCCACAGCTCCCACTTTAAGTAGTTCTGGTCTAACCTAATGTCTGGAGCTCTCCCATTTACTCAGGACTCCTGACTGCCATGTTCCCATAATTTGCTATTGAAATAAATCAATATATAATGTGACTTGCAAAGAATTCACAATGACAACTCATTAATCCATATTCAAATAGGTAAAAACTAGAGAAGCCATGTCTTTGGCTGGAAATGTCTTCACTTTTTTCATCTCTTGTACCATTTAACTGAGACATTTTAGAGACTATGTCTCAATATTTATGGTCGAAGCTATTTCCATCTGAGGAGTAAAGGGTTGGAGATTGATGGGTCCCTGTGGTTGATATCTTTAAAGTCTGACTTCTTAACCTCCCACAAATCTCCAAATGCGGGTGGTTAACTTCATCACATACATATTAGGATATTTCTGTAATTTGCGTTTGAATGACTTCTTCTGAATGAACCTGGTTGGAGGGGTATGAAATACTGTTTATGGAAAAAGAAAATTAATGTTGTGGTGGCTATGTCTGCCAGACTTTCACGTCTCCCCATCCATGTAATCATGTATATGAAACTTCCTTTAGTGGGCAACAACTCACAGTTGAGGGAATTTGTCTATAATAAACCACTTGGCTTATGTTGCATCAGATTAGATCAGATCAATTTCCTTCATTCTTAATTCCTTCCACATCATGTCAGAATGCTTCTTAAATGAGATGCCTGTAAACAGATCTGGGTCCTTAAGGGAGATGAAAAGATATGAATATAAATGTCAAACTGCTTTTTGGGAAAGGAGACTTTTCCTTTTGTGAATGATCAGTTGAAGAGTGGTAGAATGAAGAGCTAGGTTTAAGGGGATATTTGAGGAGGAAAATAAAGATCCAAGATATAATATTTGTATTTTTTGCTAAGTAAATATATATATATATATATATATATATATATAGTCAAAAACTAAGTCCTTAACTTTTAAGGAAAGGGTGTTGCTGCTTCATAGAAAGTATAGAAAAATCATGTTTTACTTCCAAAAGAAATAAGCCTACGTGAAGCATTACAACGTTGGAAGGCCTCCTGTGGGTAAACCACTTTATAACACTGATTTCCTGCAAGCATATATCAGCTCACATTAATGCTCATATAGTTAGGTGTGCCATCTGTTGTAGCTTTAGATGCCAGGTAACATTTCTATGGGTTTTCTTAAATCATACTAACTCATAGAGTGTCTATGATACTTGACTAAACTTGCTGACCAAACAAGCTAAGAAGAGATTGAGTTTGCCTCCTAGCAAACATAAGATTTTTTTCCTTCTCAAACATTACTTGAGATCTTGCTGTCCTTGAAATCTCTATAGGATTTATTGCCTTACTTCTCATTTGGAATTTTCATTATATTTCCATTCATCCTAATGATCTTTCTTGTATATTTGTGTTCTTTCTCCATATGATTATCAGACAATAAAAACTAAGTGATGACTCTGGGGGTTGAATTGCTGGACCTATTTTTCTCTGGTCAGAGAAATGAATGTTATAATCTAGGTAATAAAGTCTGAGAGAGACCACTTTATTTCAACTAATTTCCACCAAGGTAACATTGTATGATGAAACTTTATATTGTGGTTGGATGCATAGAGTACCAAGTGACTGTTTAGTAATGATAACTTAAAATTATCAGATGTTGCCATGTATTTGATATGTATGGTAAAAGGAGAAAGACAATGAAAGACTTGTAGCTCAGTAACCCATGAAATCCTTAGAATAGCGGACTTGTTAAGACATGTTAAATATTAAATATCTTCTAAATAATTTTTTCAGATAACTCAATGATCAACTCAGCAAGAGCAGCAAACATCAAAATTCTACGGCTTTGTATATGTACAACTGAATCACTTTGCTGTACACTTGAAACTAACACAACACTGTTAATCAACTGAACTCCAATATAAAATAAAAATTAAAAAAAAATTATACGGCTTAGGACATATCTCACATCCTGGGAGCACTGTGTACAAGCTTTCAGTCACCAGAAAATCAGCAAGAAGGGAAATGAAGACTTGTGGTATGTTTGAATCAACTGATGTCTTATTTTAAGCACAGTTTTCTTTTTCCTTTTTAAAAAAAACCAGGTGAATGTATTAATGTTGATATTCATGCACAGAAATGGGTCAGCTGATATTTTTGGAACTCTGTTTTGTTCTGCTTTGTTTCTAAGGTCATTGAAGAGACCCTGGACAGGTAGTGCACTAGACTCTAAATATCCCTAAGGGCAGTTTTTTATTTGTTCCCTGTGGAAATGCATGAGAAGACCCTGAGCCTGATAGAGTGCTTAGTATATGATAGAAGTTGAGTTAATATTTGGTAATGATGATGGATTTTAGGCCAAGTATATTTTGAGAGCTGGAGTCTTTTTGTGAACAAGAGTAATAAAAACAATGAACCTTTATTAAGCACTTATTTCAGGCAAGATGCTAAGCATTCCACATAGATTTTTAAAAATTCATTGTTGGACCAACCTTAAGAGACAGATATTATTATCCCTCTTCCAGAGATTAAAGCAAAAATAAAAAAAACAAAGAAGCTGAGAGTTAGAGGTATTGAACGATATTGCAGCTCTAAATTGGAATGCTTGAGCCCTGATTTGAACCGAGGCATTCTTAACTCCAGAGCTCACTCTTAACCAACAAGTGCGCTATTCTGCCTTGCCACATGATGTTCCAAAGTTGTGGTAATAGCCATCAAAAAGGTAAGTTAAGGAAAGACCTGACTTCAAGAAAGACAATACACATTGGTGGGACATTTTGCCATGACAGCTGGATGTCTTCATTTTACAGAAGATGGCTTGTTAGATATCAGTTTAATTAGCCAACTTCCTCTTGGGTCTCCATGTAGTTGCTAACTCCCTTGACCATGGAAATGACCCTGAAAATTGTGTCTGTGTCTGGTAGCTGGCAATGTGCCCTAACAAAATATCTGTGTAGTAGGTAAGTTGCTTTCTAAATGTTTCATGCCATTTTCAAAAGCCATTTTCTGACCACAGAAATGAATGGAGTGTGCTAAGAAGTGACGTGTGGTATGAGAGGGCAGATGATTCCACTTAGCCATAACCTAAGTGACATGCGCAATATTAAAATGTATAGATTTATATGCTTAGACTCATTCTCTTTCACAGACTTTCTCTCCTCTTTATAAAACTGAGTGTGACTAGTTCTTAGCAGCCTATTAGAGAGCATGGAGATTCTATTCTAAAAATGGTTTCTCATGGTGCTTATTTCAAGGTGCAGCAGAAGCTCACCCTGTTCTCTGCCTGGAGCAGGGAGTAGATTTTCCATTTGTGTGACTTACCTATCCTGCTATTCTCTCATGTACTCTTCTTCAGCAGAGGGATTATAGGACTTCCAGAAGCTAAGGACCATGTTTGTCAGACAGGGTGTGTATATCTTACATCATTTCTTATAGGTAAAACTATTTCTTGTAGGCTAAAATGTTTAGAGCTGCTATGTAAATGAGTATAGAATAATGTCATCTTCCTCACAGAAAAGTTTGGGAAAGTAAATATCAAAATTCTTTATTTTAAATTTGTTTCTAGCCATTGCCAAGCAGGGATTTAGCTCTTTATTTTAGAATACCTCAATAGGTATCCCAAACTTATATGACATTTCTGATTTTACAATCTAGGAATACTCTAGCAGATTTGACATTCACGGAGATTCTTCTCTTCTTTTGATTTTTTTCACCCGATTTATGTATTTTGCTATATTTTTACTCTGCACTATTGCATCTCCCTAAATTGCATGCATCTTGCCTTTACTCTCTTATTTTTACTATTGTAGTTTACAAATTAGTTGTATGATGTGTTGACAGTTTAATTATGATTATTGTGCCTTAAAGTTTGGGTTAAACCCAAAAGGTCAGAATATTCACTATTATTATTATTATTATTATCATTCTGAGCTTCTTGTTATCTTGTTTGCTGTGTCAAATTGTGCATAGATGCAGAACTAGAGTAGGATCAAAATCAGCCATGTCTTGCATAACAATTTCAGCTTTTGTGCTGTTTTAAATTAACTATTTTTTATGCCATAATAACATCTAATGTTTTCTTTAGGAAACAAAAAAAGCATATTTTTCTCTTTGACAGTAGCAGCCTTCCAAACCTCTTTTTTGATCAAGTTGGTAGCATAGGTGTCAATGTAAATTGTTTTTTACCTCAAAACTCTAGTGCTTTGTGTATTAGAGGTAACCTCCATGCCGTATAAGCTGTTTACTTCAGTGACTTCTTCTGACAAGCATCTACCTCTTTACCACTTAGTGCCCACTGGTGAATTTTACTTGGTTTTGGATGAAGAGCTGGGAAAACCAATTATCTCAGTCTTGCACATTTCCCTGATCAGGGATCAGTCATGTGCTTTAATCTTAGTGTCATGTGATGCCCAAACTGTTTCTTGCTTTGCAGTGAGTTGCTGCAACTGTCCATCTTACTTTGATTGCTCTTGAAAACATATCCACATCTGTCTGTGCCTAATTCATGGGCATAAACTGCGTATTGGTGACAGCGTAGTATGACGAAGGGAACATTAAAACTTTAGTGTCAGAAAGTCTGACTTCAATGGTGGCTCTGCCAGTTATTAGACATTTGATGTTGGGCATGTTGCTGATCCTCTCTGTGCTTCAGCAGCTTCAATGATAAAGTGCAGTTTATTAAAACAATAATTTTAAGGATGTTTATATCATATATGTTGTATGTTATATATAATATTATACAGTTATAAACAATTATATATAAATATAATTTTAATTGCATGTTATGAATTAGATATTACATATTACACAATACATATTAAGTGTTGTGCATATTTTGTGTGTGATATATTATTTTGTTTCTCCTTTTAGTTTCATTTCAAAGTTGATGTGATTTATCCCACATAAGTCAGTGTATTCACACCTTTGTCTTTTTTAGTCTTGGAAATCATTCTCTTTTTTGCTATCAAAACATAGGCAAGGACCTTAACCCTCCCTTGTGTGAATTGTCACTGCCCCTGAGTTACCAGTTGGCCTTAGAGAACTTATCCATGCTATGAGTACCAATCCTCAGGAGCAGTAGGTTCCCCAGACCTAGGAGGTTTTCACTTCAAATTTAAAATATCCCAAGGACAGTCTCTGAACACTGGATTAATATCTTGTGTTCTAGGTCTAAATGTCATACTGGTGGAATGACTAAAATATCTTGGCAGCCCCAGGAAGATAAAATTAATTATGTCTGGTCCATCAGCAAGGGCTCCAAATTATAGCTAGCTTTACTAGGTAGGTAGGATTATGTCAGTCACAGCCGGAGTAAAAGTAAATTCTAAGAAGAGAGAATAGTATAAGCAAATATACAGAGACCAGGATTTTCTATGGAGTTTTTGGTGTAGGAAATGGTGAAAAGTCCATTGCGATAAGTGCATAGCGTTCCTTCTGTGTTGAGGGAAAACATAAATTATCTGGAAGGTATCTGCTTGCTTTGATTTTGAAAGTTTAATATTATGATGATATTTTGTTTTGTTTATTAACTGTGCTAACTAACAAAGATGAGTTTTTGATACATAAACACAACTATTAGCAAAATTATGATGGAGTATTAAAATGGGAGAACTAGTCACTATTCATTTGAACATAAAATTTCTTAAAAATACATTTATAACAAGACTGGTAGTAGAGTTTACTGGTAGTGGGGAAATTTTAGACATGTCAACGGCCTCATAAAATATTTATATTTAGTCCCTCTGTGCTTTCTGCCATACTTAAGATGAATATTTTTGACTTAGATGTAATGTGATGATTTCGATTCCTATTCCCCTCCTCCACAACGAACACATTTTCTTTGGTCCTTGGAACAGAACCTGTACTCACTTGTACTCAACAATTGGAATTCTGAAATTTATAGTTTGAGAAGTCTGAGATGAAGTGAGTGGTTTTTAAATCTTATTGGTATCATGTAAAGGGAAATCTTCTTTATCCAGTCCATGATTAGAAAAAAATTCGAGGTACCAATGTAAATTGTTTGCAGGGAAGCAAGGAGAATTGATTGAGGAACAGAGACTTGAGTTAAGAGGACAAGTTAGATGTTCACTGAAGTAATTCAAGTAAAGGATGTTGAAGGACTGACGTAGGGCAATGAGAATTGAAGAAGCATTTTAGATTTAGAATGTGTAAGACTTGAGAACAGATTGTTAGGGGTTGAGGAGTTGGAGATGATGAGGAAAACTCTGAAGTGCCTAGCTTGGGTGACTGGTTAATGGTAATACTGGTAACTTGAGTAGGAAGAAATGACTGAGCTGAAACCATCTGTTGGAAAATGAAGTGGGTTAGAGTGAATTAAGGGGTTGAGGAAAGTGGCAAAGGTTTGGAATAGTAAAAGAAATGGTAGCAAAAAGGATGAATAAGAATCATATTTAGCCTCCATGAGGTCACAGCTAAGGTTGGAAAACAGGAATTGACATTCAAGTTTTCAATGGCTCCTCACTGGTTGCAACAGCAGCCTTCAATATTTTCCTAACCTGAAATATAAGAGGGGCAATATCCACATCTTAAGTATTATCTTATTAGGCTTTGGCATAGACAAAACTGGCTTTAGAATTGTAAAATTGCCTATTAGTTAGCTGTAAACCCAACCCTTTCTCCTAAGTATCTAAGTGAATGAGTGGGGTATTATAAAGGGATAACCTTATACGAGCTCTATTTTATTTTTGTAAAAAATATATTTCAGTTTTGATAGTTTAAACTATTATTTGAATAAATTACTTATAACATATTTCTTAACTAGTCTGAACACTGAAATTTAGAACTTGTCTAAACAAAAAAGTTTTTGAACTTGTTGGCCCAGCAAATGGGCCACAGGTCTCCACAGTCAGACACTGTCTCAGATTTTATCTTCCAAAGGTGGTTGCAAGAGGTATCTGTTACTCCATATGGATTTCTAGAACCTTTCCACTATAACTAGAGTCTAATTCTAAGACTGGAATCTTGAATCTAAGTGTATTTGCGATTTGCTTGCAACTGAAGGAATGCAGTCGAAATGACTGCATGACTTCTGAGGCTACATCAAAAAAACACAGTGCAAATGGCAAGATTTCATTCTTTTTTAGTGCTGGGTAATATCC